TCATTTTCCCCTCTCTTTTTCCTATACATGCTTGCAAAGCATAAATTTATCAAAACATTGGTTATTCCAAGTAGAGAATATACTCCACTCAACTATCTGTGAGGGAAAGAAAAAAAATAAGAAAAAAAGTAAATATTTAAATATAAGTAGTGAATTTTTTTTTCTTTTTTTTTGAGATGAAGTCTCACTCTGTTGCCCAGGCTGGAGTGCAGTGGTGTGATCTTGGTTCACTGCAACCTCTGCCTCTCTGCTTCAAGTGATTCTCCTGCCTCAGCCTCCCCAGTAGCTGGGACTACAGGTGTGCACCACCATGCCCAGCTAATTTTTTTGTATTATTGATGGAGATGGGGTTTCACCATGTTGGCCAGACTGGTCTCAAACTCCTGACCTCAAGTGATCCACTCGCCTCAGCCTCCTCAAGTGCTGGGATTACAGGTGTAAGCCACCATGCCTGCTAATAGTGAATATTTTCAATATTTTACTAAATGTATGCTAGATTTTTATTTCCTTAAATGCGGCATTGTAAAGTTTCTTTGAATTCCTTGAATTATCCCAGTCTCCACAGCAGTTATTTTCAGCAAGTTTGCAAAAGAAGCATAGTTTAATGTAAAACGTATTTGGTCTGGGTTTTGAGTCTTTTTTTTTTTGTTTTGAGATGTAGTCTCCTCTGTCCTCTGTTGCCCAGGCTGGAGTGCAATGGTGGAATCTCGGCTCACTGCAACCTCTGCCTCCAAACACAAAAATTAGCTGGGTGTGGTGGCAGGTGCCTATAATCCCAGCTGAGGCTGAGGCAGGAGAATGGCTTGAACCTGGGAGACGTAGGTTGCTGTGAGCCGAGATTGCACCACTGCGTTCCAGCCTGGATGACAGAGTGAGACTCTAACTCAAATTAAAAAAAAAAAAAAAAAAAAAAAGAAGACTGGCTTAAGTTAGCAGTCCTGGGAGTCGGTTCCTTTCTCCTTTTTGTAACGATTTCCTCAGCCTCCTTTGACTTTGATTTGTAGGATGATTTTTTTAGTCCCTGTAGAAGGCAAGTTCAGTAACACATTATCTTTATTATTATTTCTACGCACACCATGCACCATGAGTACTAACAAACTAATGATGCCACCTTCCTTAGAAACGAATTGAAATGTACATCTTGTGATAAGTTCTCTGTACCTTGTGAAACTGTGAAACTTTAATGCTTTTTTGGAAGATTCCTTCTCATGCCAATTATGAGATACCCAACAGAAGGTGTAAACGGAAATACCATCTTATGTCAAGGAATAACAAACACTAACCTCTTTGTGATTGTTACTAAAGGGTTAACCTCTTTATGCAAACAGTACTCAATTGTATGATTACAGACTTTTACGTCAATAAATACTGCGAAGGGTAAAAATAAGGCTATTAGAAAAGCCTCTTTGATTATTGGATATTTTACTAATAGTGTGATTTCTGTAGCACTTCCACTGGCGGGTAACTGTGAAACCTGTAAGGAATCAGGATATGGACATATGCTCCTTGGTTTCTGAGGCATCGCTAAGCTAGGAAAGGCGACCTCAAAGACAGCTGCATTAAACAGTCTTCTCCAGGTTAAAAAAGAAAAAAACTCTGGACTAAGATTGCATTATTTTCATCAATAAAACAAATATATTCCATTTAAGGACAAGATTGAAAAACAAAGAAGAATGTAACTCCAGAAAATTCCTCAAATAACTGGAGACTGAAAAAAACCCATAAGCCCCAATGGTTTGGCCTTTGAAAAACTCCTAAAATAATACTTGTAGATAGTCTGAGATCACTGCTTTCTTAAAGGCGTATATAACTGAAAACTATTCCATGCTATTTCAGAAGTATAGTATTTATGGTACAATGTCTTTGATACTAAATATTTGATATTTGCTAAATTTTGTTTAATTTGTTATTTACTCATATTAATAAAACTATACTAAAACTGAAAACATTCCAACTTCTTCAGAGTTTGTTATTATGCAAGTCATTGCCATTTTTCTGGGAGAACTTAGCTTCATTTAAGCTGTTAATTATAGCTCTACCGTGATCAAATAAATGAAAGGTCTTGGCTGGGCGCAGTGTTTCATGCCTGTAATCCCAGCACTTTGGGAGGCTGAGGCGGGTAGATCACGAGGTCAAGAGATCGAGACCATCCTGGTCAACATGGTGAAACCCCGTCTCTACTAAAAATACAAAAAATTAGCTGGGCATGGTGGCGCGTGCCTGTAATCCCAGCTACTCAGGAGGCTGAGGCAGGAGAATTGCCTGAACCCAGGAGGCGGAGGTTGCGGTGAGCCGAGATGGCGCCATTGCACTCCAGCCTGGTAACAAGAGCGAAACTCCGTCTCAAAAAAAATTATACAAAACCTTGCATTACAGAAGTAACTTTTTTCAGTGTTTTATTACATTTTGGGGTGGCAAAATACAAATAGTTTAAACGTAAAATTTAAGTAACTTTCAAAATAACAGAGTAAAACACTGTTATAAGCTGGCATATGATTCCATAAATATAAGCACAAAGTCATACTTTTTTCCAAAATGTAACGATTTATTTTTTCAAACCATATTTTACAAGTAACTGAAGAGATGGGTGATCTTCTCTCCTTACTTTGTACCTAATATCAGTGATATGTATCACCAGTGCATGAATGAAATCTGCTGATTTATTTTCACTGGATTGATGAGTTGCTTCAACTTTGTATGAATACAGTCTGAAAACCTTGATGTGACAAAAGACCAGAGCAACCTTCGTTAGACTGCACCTTGAAGATCTATACCATCTTACTCGAATTTGGACCCCTTCAAATACTGGCACTTGCCTGAATTACTTAGGTAAGGACATAGAGCTGCTGTCTTGGCTTGAAGAGGGAAATTGTAGTTCGAAGCACTAAGTTATACCAGACTTAGAGGAATGTTTTTGTGGGAAATGTCACATCAAGGGCTCCATTGAAGATCATTCCTAAATATATCCAAATTCACAGCCATGCTTCTTGCATTGGTGTATGTCAGATTACCTATCTTTTTGTTACATACCACAATGCAGTATCATACTTGTTAATATTTCTTAAACAGCTTAGGCAAATTATCACTGACATAATATATATTTGGAGTAAATAAATATGGCCATTTTCTCATTCTGGCTGTTGGTGCCAAAAAAGGAGGAGGGAGTTTTGCAGTTGAATTTTTATTATAAAATGTCATGTTGGAGAGAATAAGCAGCAAAGGGGAACTATCAATAAACTATTAAGAGTTTGTTCCAGACCGGGCGCAGTGGCTCACACTTCTGTAATCCCAGCACTTTGGGAGGCCAAGGCAGGCAGATCACGAGGTCAGGAGTTCGAGACCAGCCTGACCAACATGGCAAAACCCTGTCTCCACTAAAACACAAAAATTAGCCAGGCATGGTGGCACGCCTGTAATGCCAGCTATTCAGGAGGCTGAGGCAGAAGAATTGCTTGAACCTAGGAGGCGGAGGTTGCAGTGAGCCGAGATCATACCACTGCACTCCAGCCTGGGCGATAGAGCAAGACTCCATCTCAAAAAAAAAAGTTTTGTTCCATGGGAAATTCTGTTCTCAATGATATAGTTTCCAAAGAGATAATGCAATCTCGGCCTAACACTTCATTTTACAAAATAAACAGAAAACCTAAAGTTTATGTATTTATTTATTTTTATTTTTTTTATTTTTGTGGAGATGGGGGTCTTGCTGTGTTGCCCAGGCTGGTCTGGAACTTCTGGCCTCAAGCTATCCTCCTACTTCTACCTCCCTAAATGCTGGGATTATAGGTGTGAGCCATAGTGCCTGGCCTAGCCCTGAAGTTTAAATGACTTATAGAAGGTAACATAATTTGTTGCCAAAACAAAGCTTCCAGAATAGTGTTTTTTTCTTGTCCATAATTTATTATTATTATTATTATTTTTGAGATGGCGTCTTGCTCTGTCACCCAGGCTGGAGTCCAGAGGTATGATTTCAGCTCACTGCAACCTCCACCTCCCATGGTCAAGCAATTCTCCTGCTTCAGCCTCCCAAGTAGCTGGGATTACAGGCGCCTGCCACACCACCTAATTCTTGTGTTTTTAGTAGAGACAGGGTTTCACCATATTGGCCACGCTGGTCTCAAACTCCTGACTTCAAGTGATCCTCCCGCCTCGGCCTCCGAAAGTGCTGGGGTTACAGGCGTAAGCCACTGCGCCCGGCCTTGTCCATAAGTTTTAAGCCCAACTTTTCCATTTTAATTGTGACATATAATGCCTCAATTTTTCTTTTAAAACATGGAAATTGGACACAATGTTATAACTAAGAACTATTAATTTAAGCTTTCTCCTTGTTTGTTTTTCATTTTATTTTATTTTATTTGAGACAGAGTCTCGCTATGTCTCCCAAGCTGGAGTGCAGTGACGCGATCTCGGCTCACTACAACCTCCGCCTCCCGGGTTCAAGCGATTCTTCAGCCTCAGCCTCCTGAGTAGCTGGGACTACAGGCGCCCGCCACCAGGCCCAGCTAATTTTTGTATTTTTAGTAGAGATGGGGTTTCACCATGTTGGACAGGCTAGTCTCCAACTCTTGACCTTAGGTGATCCGCCCACCTCGGCCTCCCAAAGTGCTGGGATTACAGGCGTGACCCACCTCGCCTGGCTCTCCTTGTTTATTTTAAACTAGAAGGGAAAATCAAATGTAGAACAATTATGATACATTTGTAAAAGGAATAAACACACCAGATTTGCAGGCCAATTCTACTAGGAATCCCAAAATACATAGTTTCTTCAAATTTAATGAGTCAGAGAACTATGTGGAAAGTTTTCTTCCAGAAAAGATCTTTGACAATTAAAACACACACACACACACACACACACACACACACACACACACACTCATTTTGGGGTAAGAGATTTTTCTTAAGTATAGCCAACTCGTTTCTGTAATTTACAATTCAGTCAGGTGCAAACACGAGGACTATATAACCATTTCTCCCTTTAAATGAGAAACTGGGATACAAGCGGGTTAAGGTGGAAAGAAATGATAAATTTAAAAACTCAAATGACAAGTTCCTTCTGGCTGGATAGTGAGACAAGAGAAACCACAAAAGCCTACATGGTGCAATCTGGACAGACAGAGCTAAAGTGACTACTTCATAGATGAAGATGGACAACTTGAAACTTGACCGTGAGTTTAACAAAGCGGCCCTGTGTGTGAGAAGGAACTAACATATTCGAGTGGAATGTGCCGTTGCATTTAGATAGAAGGAAACGTAACGTGAATTGAAGTTTCCTTAATTCAAAATGAATTTTTGGGCAGTTCTCCACTGTAACTTTAAGGAGTCTCCTTTTCAATTTTCTGTATTCTGAATCCCCTCTAACTACAGCTCAAACACATCCAGTATCTGCCAGCCATGTCCATGAATTCCTCATGTCCCAGCCAAGTGCCTCTCAGCTCAAAAAGCCCCTTGCGTGCCAGGGGTCAGCCATGTCTGGAAGGCTCTGGAAGAGGTCTGCTGGGCAGCGGGAGCACTGCTGTGGATGAGAGGCCTCTTGTTGGACTGGAGACCAGGAGCTGTTAAGAAACCCAGAAACAAAAAAGGCTCAGATGGGGACAGCTGCAAAGGTATCCGCTCCCGAGCACCAGGAGCTCCTCCCTCCTCTCCACCAAATGCCACAGTTGGGAAAAAATGGACATCTCCCCCAAAACCCCACCCCAAGTAAAATGTATTTGCTATCTCACCCTCAAATAAGAATGAGTCAATAATGAAGTAATGCAATTATACAAGCATAGTTGTAAACAACTGTGCTGCAACTATGCTGGCATGCAAAGATGTGCTTTACCTTTAATTACCGGAAGAAAATAGACAACGTGGGCTGTGAGCACCTAACTTGAAGAAGAAATTAGGAAATAACATTCCCTCCCCGCCACACCCATCACTCCCAACCCATTCTACCTAAAAATCCTTTGCATTGTGGATTTTATTTTTAATTTTTAAAGTCTTATTTTAAATTAGGACCCGAAGAAAGAAGCTGGCATTTCTTATTCTTTTCAGAGTGGTCTGAGAAAAAAATAGAAAAGCAAACTCTCTTTTCTTTTCTTTCTTTTTTTTTTTTGAATCAATACCCGAGATAACATCCAGAAGCAAAAATCCACCGGTGTGTCAGCAAGCAGCGCGCTCGGCCGTTCAGCTCCATCCCTCCCTCCGAGATGTTCTCCAGCAGGCTCCGGCCGCCACGGCTCCAGGCCACTAGAGCAGATAGATAATGTAGGACAGAATGACCAGGCCTATGATGGCAAAGAACATCAGGATGAAAATATCCAGCATTGCGGATTCCTAGGCCGACCCGGTCCCTGGATTCTGGTGAAAAGTGAGCTGTGAGCAAGGAGGTTGCAGTCGGTGGAGAGAAATGGCTCCTCTTCCCTCCACGGCTCGGCTCCGGTTCTTTCCCCTCCCCCTCCTGGGGACCCGAGACTAAAGGATGCTGCGGCTCCACCAGCAGCTTCCACCCGCTCCCCCTCCCCCAACCACGGCCAACCAATCACAAAGCCTGGGGGTTGATAGCCAAGGAGCTGCCAGATTTAGACCCCGCAGAACCGCAGAACCAAAGGGGCTCAATTTCTCCCCAGGAACCCAATCCCACCCCTTTGTATCTAAATGGAGCTGCATGCTATGGATGTAGGAGGAGACAGAATCTCTACCCAGCTCCCCGGGGAATGAATCCCCCTGACTTCCTTTCTTCGCTTTCCTCTCACACACCTCGGGCAGATTCTCTCAGAAAAATACTGGTTGGGTATTGGGTGCGCCATTGGCAAGTTCCTTTTTTTTTTTTTTGAGACGGAGTTTCGCTCTTGTTACCCAGGCTGGAGTGCAATGGCGCGATCTCGGCTCACCGCAACCTCCGCCTCCTGGGTTCAGGCAATTCTCCTGCCTCAGCCTCCTGAGTAGCTGGGATCACAAGCACGCGCCACCATGCCCAGCTAATTTTTGTATTTTTAGTAGAGATGGGGTTTCACCTTGTTGACCAGGATGGTCTCCATCTCTTGACCTCGTGATCCACCCGCCTCGGCCTCCCAAAGTGCTGGGATTACAGGCTTGAGCCACCGCGCCCGGCCTGCCATTGGCAAATTCTAAAGGTCACATTATGGGGAGACACAGACAAAGATCTCGTGTGGGTCTCAGTGGGCTGCCCCTGGGGATGGCGCTAACATTTATACGTTTCCTACATTGGGCCGGATATTGCACACATGGTGCGATTTCAACCACCCTGGGAGTGTTTCATAGATGGGGCTCAGAGATGGTCAGAAATTTACCTAATGCTTCATAGTTTAGAACTGTCAGAGACCGGCCGGGCACGCTGGCTCAGGCCTGTAATCCCAGCACTTTGGGAGACCGAGATAGGTGGATCACGACGTCAAGTTCAAGACCAACCTGGCCAAGATGGTGAAACCCCGTCTCTACTAAAAATACAAAACTTAGCCGGGCGTGGTGGCGGGTGCCTGTAATCCCAGCTACTTTCGAGGCTGAGACTGGAGAACTGCTTGAACCCGGGAGGTGGAGGTTGCAGTGAGTCAAGACCCCACCATTGCACTGCAGCCTGGGCGACAGAGGGAGACTTCGTCTCAAAAATAAAAAATAGAGCCGGGCGCGGTGGCTCAAGCCTGTAATCCCAGCACTTTGGGAGGCCGAGGCGGGTGGATCACGAGGTCAAGAGATGGAGACCATCCTGGTCAACATGGTGAAACCCCGTCTCTACTAAAAATACAAAAAATTAGCTGGGCGTGGTGGCGCGTGCCTGTAATCCCAGCTACTCAGGAGGCTGAGGCAGGAGAATTGCCCGAACCCAGGAGGCGGAGGTTGCGGTGAGCCGAGATCGCGCCATTGCACTCCAGCCTGGGTAACAAGAGCGAAACTCCGTCTCAAAAAAAAAAAAAATAAATAAATAAAATAAATAAATAAATAAATAAATAAATAAAAATGTCAGAGACCAAGATTCAAAACTAGGCATGCAGACTCCAAAGTCCACATTCTTCCTCCTGTCCCACACTGCTCCCCCTGTTGGTCCGGAAGGCCCCTGCACCCCACCTGCGCGGCTCAGCCTGCAGTGCACCGTGTTCAGTAGCTCTCAGGACTAGCACCAGAGACCTCTCCTCCAGCCACTCCTTCATCTTCTTTGCAGTCATTACCCACTGTTCTGTTTTCCTTCTTTCTTTTTCTTTAGAAACGGGGTCTTGCCATCTTACCCAGGCTGGTCTCAAACTCCTGGACTCAAGCGATCCTCCCACCTCGGCCTCCCAAAGTGCTGGGACTGCAGGTGTGAGCCGCGGGGCCCAGCCTACTTTTGTTTCCTTTAGTATCCTCTTCCAAAAGCTCAGCAGAGTGTTATATACAGAGAGGACACTGAAGAATTCTCAAGGGCCATTCCTGAAATAAAAAAATTCAAGTGGTTTCTTCTTACGGGGAAAAGATAATAGTTTTAAAAAAAATCAGAGTTGGGCACAGTGGCTCACACCTGTAATCCCAGCACTTTGGGAGGCCGAGATGGGCAGATCACTTGAGGTCAGGAGTTGGAGACCAGCCTGGCCAAGATGGTGAAACCTCATCCCTACTAGCCAGGTGTGGTGGCTAATGCCTGTAATCCCAGCTACTCAGGAGGCTGAGGCAGGAGAATCGCTTGAACCCAGGAAGCAGAAGTTGCAGTGAGCCAATATTGCACCACAGCACTCTAGCCTGGGCAACGGACCCGGACTCCATCTCAAATAAAATAAAATCACTCCATCTTCCAGACTGGAGTGCAGTGACGCAACCACAGCTCACTGCTGACTCAACCTCCCCGACACAAGCAATCCTCCTGCCTCAGCCTCCCAAGTAGCATGGACTACAGGCGCACACCACCACACCTGGCTAATTTTTATAGTTTTTGTAAAGACAGGGTCTTGAGGCCGGACATGGTGGCTCACACCTCTAATCCCAGCACTTTGGGAGGCTGAGGTGGGTGGATCATGAGGTCAGGAGTTTGAGACCAGCCTGGCCAGCATGGTGAAACCTCATTTCTACTAAAGATACAAAAAATTAGCCAGGCAAGGAGGTACGCACCTGTAATCCCAGTTACTCAGCAGGCTGAGGCACAATTGCTTGAACCTGGGAGGCAGAGGTTGCAGTGAGCTGAGATCGCACCATTGCACTCCAGCCTGGGTAGCAGTGTAAGACTCCATCTCAGAAAAAAATAAAATACAAAATTTAGCCACCTATAATCCCAGCTACTTGGGAGGCAGAGGCAGGAAGACAGGAGAATTGCTTGAACCTGGGAGGCAGAGGTTGCGGTGAGCCGAGATAGCGCCATTGCACTCCAACCTGGGCGACAAGAGCAAAACTCTGTCTCAAAAAAAAAAAAGACAGAGTCTTGTGATGTTGCCCAGGCTGGTCTCAAACTCCTGAGCTTAAGCAACCCACCTGCCTTGGCCTCCCAGAGTGCTGATATTACAGGCATGAACCATGAGCCTGGCTTTATCATTTTTTTAACTCAGTTATGTCTTGTATTGTGCCTTTTCATAAGCCTCAATTATTTCCAATTAAATTTTTTAAATGCCCTAGGACATCTCTGAGGCCTAATCTCCTCGGCCCCTACCCCAAATCGTATTTTTTTTAAAGGCCTGGGGGTAAGGCATATTGGTAACGCCCTCATAATGCTAGACCTCAGGAACTTAGGCCACTGCCATAAGGGGGTCTAGAAACTCCTCCCATTGGCCACTCCCGGGAGGCAGAGTGTTCTGTGAGCAGGGAGTGGAGACCCCGCAGCAATGCCCCCCAAAACAGACTATTCCCTCAAATAGCTCTGAAGGTGAATGGAGCCTCCTGGGGAGTGGGGTGGACCATGAGGCAAACTTTGCCAACTAACTTCCTTCTATTGGGAAAGCATCAGGCTGCCTGCACCCCTGGAGGGAGCAGGTGTCAGTGCTGTCTCTAAATAACCACCCAGGGCCACCTCAGGCGCTCCCCACCCAGCCCCAGCTCGGCTGACTCCGGCCTCTCCTCCTCTCCATCCTGCTGTGATTCTGAGGCTGGAGAGTGCTTTCGTTCTGAGCCCCAAGAGGAGTGCCATTGAGCGGCTGGACCTGAGGCTGACGGGCAGCACAGAGTGGGGCCAGATTCCCCTCTGCCTCTGTCCTCTTCCCAAGCCCACTGAGCAAGAAGGGAGGCCGCCTGGCCTTCTGGCCAATAACAGACCATGGGCACCTGGAGCAAAACGTGGAGCCCAAGAGACACGCATCTGAGGCCTGCCGAGGACACAGGCACACGGCCTGCTCCGGCCAGGCGGCACAGCACCAGATCAGGAGCGCCACGTGGGGGGTCTCAGGCCCCACTCTGCCACTGGCTGTGGACTGCCACCAATCTGCTCTGCCTTTCTGGGCCTCGGTGAGTCCCTCCTCCGTAAGCAGTTATTTCTCTCACAGGCTGCCAGGAAGGAAGAAAAGGAGGTGTGTTCAAGATCACATCCCAAAGGCTGTGAACAGTGCCGTGGGCAGCCGGGCCACCTTACACACAGCTTCATGCAGATCCCGTCCCACTGCGGGGCATCCTGTCATCTCATGCCTCAAACGCGCTGAGATCCTGCTCTCCGCCTGGCAGCGGCAGAGTGCTAGAACTGCTCCCCAGCTGAGCTCATTCATTAATTCAACAGCTCCGCACCTGCTCCAGGGCAGGTAGGAGACTCAGAGACAATCAGACTCATCGCCTGCCCCGGGGGCTCCGGCAAGTGGGGAGACAGATGTGTCACTGAGGAAGTGAGACAGTAAGGAGACGGAGCTCAGGGAAGCTTCCGGGAGCATCACCAAGTTGGCAGAGAGGAATGAGTGGGTGGGAAGCCAGAAGTAGGTTGGTGGGAGTTCTCAGCAAGGAGAAAGTAAGGGCAAGGGCCTGTCAGACAGCAGCAAACCATCCCCTGACGTCCAGACAAGTCATTCTCTCCCTGAGAGGCAGCAGAGCTCCCAGGAGGGCCATAGGCCAGTGCCCCCGAGCAGACGGGACACACACAGAGGGCAACACCTCCTGGCTAAATACACTCACACACAGCACCTCACAGCTACACATACACACACCTCAGAACCTCAGAGCCAGCCCCACAGAAAAGACACACACACACACAGAGCAGCACCTCACCATTAGATACACACACACACACACACACACACACAGAGCAGCACTTCACCATTAGATACACACACACACACACAGCAGCACCTCAAAGCCAGAGAGGAAACCAAGTCCGCAGGTAAAAATGATACTTTTATTTTAGTCACCAGGAGAAAGATTCACTCGCGGTTCAAGTCAAATGTTCAGAATCATAACAGGCCAGAAAGGTTTGATCCCGAGCACAAGCCCACGAGGGAGGGGACCAACACAGACCGAAATGAGACAACAACCCCATATAAAAAGATGAATGGTGGCTTCGCACACGCACACACAGACACACACACACGGATGAAATGTCTGGACAGAGGCAAATTTCACTTGGTCGTTTCATTTCTTTTTACATACAGGTTTGTGGGGTGGTATTTTGTTTTTTCCAGCTATAAAAAACGGCCCAAAGGTGCATGTGTGAGAAGGAAAGGCGGAAATCAAGCAATAAAGCCAGTTTCCCTGGAGGGACACGAGAGAGGAAACAGGAGGCCGTGCTGGGAGAAAGTACTCTGTCACCACTGGGCTTCTGGTTATTCTTATGATTGGTCCACGAAAGTTATATTCACATTCTGGCTCGGATGCATCTCTCCTGGGATTAGATGGGTGGAAAGAGCTCTGTGAACTGTAGAGAAGACCAGGGGCCCAGCCCAGCCCAGCCCGGCCCTCAGGGCTCTGTGCTCTACTAGGGATGGATGGTTCTGGTAAGAAGCAGGCACCCAGCAGCCCCTGGGTCCCTCAGCACCAGTGTGACGGTCCCTCCTCTCTCTGGGGGTGTGTAAGAAGATGGTCCCTATTTTGAGGACAGGAAGAGTAGAGGGCAGGCCTGCAGCAGGATTCCATGACTGGCTCGCCCTGTCTGGGAAGGAGAATTCAGCCGAGTGACAACAGGCTGCTTTTTGCTGCTTGTCCCCCGCCCTCACCCCTCTCCCAAACTCAGGTCCTCTAAGGGGATGTGTCCCTGGCCTTTGGTCTCCAAATCCACATTGTGCTTTGAGATCAAGAAGAAACAGAATGCACCAGTGCCCCCCCAAGACTCCCAAGGGATTCTCTGCCTCCCCGAGCCCCCACACTGCCCAAGATAAGATATTCCACTTGCCTCCACCTAGACGGGCCAAGAAAGGAAAAGGGACTGGCTAGGCAGGGCCTCCCTCCTCACCCACCGTCTTCTCCTCAACCTCTGATTTGGGGCAGGTATCCCCAGATCAATTCACAAGCAGTTGACAAAAACACCCATGATGACTAGCTGTTGAACAGGCCAGAAACTGCAGGTCCTGCCCCTCACCTGTGGGTACAAGTGTGCAGGGACAAGAGGCCAATGGCGGGGGGACCTGGTTAGGCTCAGGGTGAAGATGAAACGGGGACTCCCCGGGGGTGGCAAGAAAACCAGAGATGAAACGAGTGAGGCCGGGATTGTCGCAGCCACCCCTGAGCAGAGAGCAGGAGCTGGACAGAGCGCCGCCCTCCCCTCCCCGGCCCGGAGGCTGTGCTTCCAGTTTTGCAGCCCTGGGACCCTCTTTCTTGCTTCAAGGAAGCTTTATGTAAGTGAGGGGGGTGTAGGGGAAGAGCCCCCAGAAGGAGACACTCACACTGTGGGTGACACAAGGTCCTTCTGGCACCCTATTCCGCAGCCCAGACACAGAGATGGGGAAAAATATGCCTGGAGTGACAGAGCCTTCCCCCAACCTCAGCCCCAGCAGGCGGTAGCCCCAGCGGCAAACTCCACGCCAACCCCTCACCTTCCACCCTGCACGCTGCGAAGGGCAGATTGGTGGGCTGCCTCCACTCCAAGATACGGGGAAGGAGGCACTTCCTTCCAAAGAAAACCTAAGGAACTTGGAGCCCTCCCCTCCCGCTGCGGGCTCCTCATCCTGCACAGACCCCCAGCCACACACAGGCCCAGAGACATCTCCAGACACGCCCCTGCCCATCGCTCACGCTCACGCTCACACACTTGCATGTCAGACACCTGCAGACACCCATGCTCCTGCCTCCGCACACCAGGTCTTGGAGATACAGTGGTCCCTGCTGCCTCGGTGAAGGCTCGGAGACATCCTCCCAGGAGAAGCAGGCAGGAGCGGCCGCCCAACCCAGATCCTGGGGGCTAAGGGAGACTGAAGACCAAATGGCCCAAAGTCACCCTTGCTCCACACCTCAGGACCACGGCTTCCGGCCTGGGAGGCAGGCAGGGGTCCCTGGAGACTGGGGGTGGGGGTGGGGAAAGGGGCTGCGGGGAGAACTCCCTGTTCCCCTCCTTCCGGTAGCTGTCCCTAAAAATAAGAAAGGCAAGAACCTGACCCAAGCTGTGCTTCCTGGGGAGCTCTTTGCCCGTTACGGGCCTGCATGGGCGGGAGGGCAAAATCACAGTGTGCGAAGGAACGCGCCGGGAGGGGAGGAACGCGCCCCGCAGCAGGGACCCCATTCTCCTGTTGCTGCCCCTGAGGAGGGATAAGGTGGGGAGAGACCCGGGGTGGGCAGCAGCCCCCTCTCTGAGAAGGAGAGGTAGAGCCCATCGTACTGGTCCCTACACAATAAAGGAGCCCCTGTCGCCATCCCAGGAGCCGACACGAAGATCCCACTCTGGGGAACGTGGGGAGCCCCTGCCCTGGGGTTCTGGGAGTCTCAGGTTCACCCCAGCCCTGGAATGTGTGGGTGTGTGAGGAGCTGGGCAGGAGGACGTGAAGGGAGAAAACAGAGGGGCAGGCGAGGCACAGGGGCCCACAGGTCTCCCATTCCAGCCCTGCACCCCGGCCTCGCCCTCCCCAGAGAGGCCCAGGCCCGTTCCATCCAGAGAGAAAACCAAGAAGTCGGTCAAGGGGGAAGCCTGCCAGAGGAGGGAGCCCGCAGAAGTGGCAGAAGAAGGCTTCAGTTGGCAAAAGAAGCTGGAAGAGGGGTAGGAATCACAAGCTGTTGCAGGTTTTAAAAAACAGAGACACTGAAGAATGGACGGGGCACGCCCAGGACGGATGCGATGCCGTGGAATGCGCTGAAGACAGGTGGGGGGCGCCGCGGGCTCAGATGGCCTCCACGTAGTTGGCCGGCAGCATCCCCGTGTCGCCGGTGCGCTCCACCGTCCCGTACATCCAGCCGTCGTCGATCTGCTGCACGTTGACGATGGTGTCCCCGTCCTGGAAGGAGACCTCGTCCTCGTCGGCAGCGCTGTAGTCATACACCGCGCGGTACCGCTTCTGTGGGGGAGGTTCGGTCAGCCCAGGCCCTGGATGCCAGCTCACCTGGGTCTACCTCTCCAGGACCCTGGAACACAGCCTAGGGTAGCAGTGAACTCAGAAATGGGGCCCCAGCCTCTGCTACAAAGACTCACCTCTGTGTCTTGCTTGCTTACTGAGAGCTGTCGATCTTTTACAAGCTTTGGCAGCTACTAAGGGCCAGAGGCAGGGCAGGGACCGAGGTCACATCAGCTCTGCCCCACCTCACTGAACAGGACTGCAGTAAGGCCCACCAGCCATGATGCCAGATTAGTGTCTAAAAATGCAACCCGCAGGCCAGGCGTGGTGGCTCATGCCTGTAATCCCAGCACTTTGGGAGGCCAAGGCAGGACAACTGCTTGAGCCCATAAGTTTGAGACCAGCCTAGAAAACACAGTGAGACCCCTTTTCCTTTTGAGATGGAGTCTTGCTTTGTCACCGAGGCTGGAGTGCAACGGCATGATCTCAGCTCACTGCAACATCCACCTCCTGGGTTCAAGTGATTCTCCTGCCTCAGCCCCCCAAGTAACTGGGACTATAGGCAACATGCCTGGCTAACTTTTGTATTTTTGGTAGAGATAGGGTTTCACCATGTTGGCCAGGATGGTCTCAAACTCCTGGCCTCAAGTGATCCACCCATCTCAGCTTCCCAAAGAGCTAGGTGTGAGCCCATCTCTACAAAAAATTAAAAATTAGCTGGGCTTAGTGGTACATGCCTGTAGTCTCAGCTACTCAGGAGGCTGAGGTGGAAGGATCACTTGAACGCAGGAGGTTGAGGCTGCAGTGAGCTGTGATTGCACCACTGCTGCATTCCAGCCTGGGCAACAGAGCAAGACCCAGTCTCAAAAAAGAAGAAGCATGCCCCGTATGCTATTATTTGTATGATTATAAGCACCAGTAGTTTTTCTTTCTTTCTTTCTTTGAGACGGAGTCTTGCTCTTGTCACCCAGGCTAGAGTGCACTGGCGTGATCTTTGATCATTGCAACCTCCGCCTCCCGGGTTCAAGTGATTCTCCTGCCTCAGCCTCCCAAGTAGCTGGGATTATAGGCATGTGCCACCATGCCCAGCTAATTTTTCTATTTTTAGTAGACACAGGGTTTCACCATGTTGGCCAGGCTGGTCTCAAACTCCTGACCTCCGGCATTCCACCGGCCTCGGCCTCGCAAAGTACTGGGATTACAGGTGTGAGCCACCGCACCCTGGCCACACCAGTAGTTTCTTTCTTTTTTTTTGAGACTGAGTTTCGCCCTTGTTACCCAGGCTGGAGTGCAATGGCGATCTCGGCTCACCGCAACCTCCGCCTCCTGGGTTCAGGCAATTCTCCTGCCTCAGCCTCCTGAGTAGCTGGGATTACAGGCACGCACCACCATGCCCAGCTAATTTTTTGTATTTTTAGTAGAGACGGGGTTTCACCATGTTGACCAGGATGGTCTCGATCTCTCGACCTCGTGATCCACCCGCCTCGGCCTCCCAAAGTGCTGGGATTACAGGCTTGAGCCACCGCACCCGGCGCCAGTAGTTTCTTTTATAAGCCATGATGAGTCTGGCAGAAGACCTTGAAGTTCAGGACAAAGACCTTTCCGTGGGAGAAAAATCTTCAGGGGACAAAAGAGGTGTCTATCAGTTTCCACCTTCCAAGCCTCAGCGAAAATCTGCCACTGAAGCCCTAGATGATCTAGGTCATGTCCAGTAGTGCACACACAATCCCACAGCGTCACTTACTACCAGGATGGAGTTTAAAAAAAAAAAAGAAGAGAGAGAAAAAAAAGAAAAAGAAATCCTATAGCTGCAGGCGACGTCCCACCTCCCCTGACCTTCACTGCCCTTGACCGGTCTCAGGCTCCACAGGACAGTTTGAAAACCAACAGGTCCATGGGATAAGCGGTCACACCTCTCAGGAAGTGATCTCAGTCTCTCTCATCACCACTTCTGCCTCCATCTTGGGCCGAGCTGCCGCCATCCACGCCTGTATCCTCCAACGGCCTCCGGACGGTCTCCCTGCTTTTACCCTCAACTACTGCCTCTTCTCAGCACAGCTGCCAGGGTGATCTTCCAAACACCTACACTGGTCTGAACAGATCCAGGTCCCAGAGGCCTTCCTGGGGCCCGCGAGTCCCTGCGTAATCGGACCTCCTCCCCTCTTCCACCCTCCCGTCAGTTTGGCCTTCCTGCTGCTCTGCGAACGTTCCTGGAATATCCTTGCCTCAGCGCCTTTGCGCCTGCTGTCCTCGGCTCACTCCTTCCTTTATCGAGGACTTTGCTCAAATGTCACGTCTTTTTTTTGTTTTTTTTTTTTAAGCCAGAGTTTCGCTCTTGTTGCCCAGGCTGGAATGCAAATGGTTCATTCTTGGCTCACTGCAGCCTCCACCTCCCAGGTTCAGATTCTCCTGCCTCAGCCTCCCAAGTATCTGGGATTACAGGCATGCACCACCACACCGGGCTAATTTTTTATTTTTAGTGAGACAGCGTTTCACCATGTTGGCCAGGCTGGTTTTGAACTCCTGACCTCAGGCGAGCCACCCACCTCCTAAACTGCTGGGATTAACAGGTGTGAGCCACCATGCCCAGCCTATATCAGTTTTTTTTTTTTTGGGGGGGGGGGGAGAAGGAGTTTTGCTCTGTCGCCCAGACTGGAGTGCAGTGATTTGATCTTGGCTCACTGCAATTGGGTTCAAGATTCTCCTGCCTCAGTTTCCTGAGTAGCTGGGATTACAGATTATAAACACAGGCCACCACACCCAGGTAATTTTTGTATTTTTGGTAGACAGGGGGTTTCACCATGTTGGCCAGGCTGGTCTCGAACTCTGGACCTCAATCCACCCGCCTAGCCCTCCCAAAGTGCTGGGATTACAGGCATGAGCCACCGCTAATGCAGCTGCTGTCTATCCATCCCTCACCCTGCTGTGTTTCTTTTTTTTTTTTTTTTTTTTTTTTTTTTTTTTTTTTTTGAGATGGAGTTTCGCTCCTGTTACCCAGGCTGGAGTGCAATGGCGCGATCTCGGCTCACCGCAACCTCCGCCTCCTGGGTTCAGGCAATTCTCCTGCCTCAGCCTCCTGAGTAGCTGGGATTATAGGCACGCGCCACCATGCCCAGCTAATTTTTTGTATTTTTAGTAGAGACGGGGTTTCACCATGTTGACCAGGTTGGTCTCGATCTCTCGACCTCGTGATCCACCCGCCTCGGCCTCCCAAAGTGCTGGGATTACAGGCTTGAGCCACCGTGCCCGGCCACCCTGCTGTGTTTCTATTCACAGCGTGCGTCACGCTTTCTTGTTTGTCCTCCTGTCTGGAATGTAAGCCCCAGAGGGCAGGGAGGTGGCTGTATATTCAGATGGACCCCACACATCCAGGACAGACCCACTGAGGAGGGGAGGACTGGCTGGGCTGCCGGGAACCTTTCCTTCAGACCGACTCTTGCGCCCACAGCGCCCCGGGCAGTCCTGACATCCTTCTGTTTGTGTGCCCAGAGCACGAGGCTCCAGCCCGCCACTGTCTCAGGCGATTTTATCTCTCTAAGTATCTGTTCTGCTCCTACGGGAGCTACTTTGAATTCCCAGGCACCCAGCCTGGAGGCGCTGAGCCTGCCAGGAGCTTGGTGAGGGCGGCCAAGCGACACCCATGGGTGGGGTGAGGCAGGACTTCAGCTCTGAGGGCTCAGGAAGCGCCTGACCCCGCCCCTGTTCCTGCCTGAGCTCATTCACTTGCTCTGGGTCTGGCTCAGAATAGGTGACCCAGAGGGACCCTGCCAGGGGTCAGCCCAGCAGGGGGCAGAGAAGGTGACCAACACAAAGAGCTCTTTTCAGTTGGAAAAGTGCTCTGAAGGCAGCCAGTGGGGGCTGAGTAATGCAAAGTGTCAGGGTGACACGCTTTAACGGGCCTGGCTAGGGAGGCCCTCTGTGGCAGGGGCAGCCTGAGAGCTGAGGTGAGGTGGCATCCTCAGGAATTGAGGGAGCAGTGCCCAGGGCTGGAAAGTCCCACGCAGAAAGGCGCCTTGTGTGTTCGCAGTAGCCAGGGTAAGGAAACCCTGCCCGGAGCAGGGGGAGCCACCTGCCCATGGCATACCAGGTCTGGAACACTGAGCCCCAGCCCCAGCCAGCCTCTGCCCACGATGCCAACCAACCTCCTCTCCGCTCATCAGGCTGAGATCCTCACCACCACATACAACAGGGGGCGGGCGTGAAGGTCAGGCAAACCCATGAGCTGCATCCAAGCTTTCCCTGAGGCCCCGCTGCCTCTGGCCTCTCCCCTCCGGCCAGGGTTACTCACCCCGCCACCGCCTGGAGCGCTGCGCTGTACGGACACTGGGGCTGCAGGCTCCTTGTAGCCTCCATAGGACTGGGCCATCGGCTGCTGTTGGGGCTGCTGGTAAACTGAAAGATGGACGGAGACGGGGCTTGGAAACTGTCCTGTCAAACCCAGCCCCTCCCAGAGCCCCCAAGAAGCCCACACCATGCACTTCTACCCCACCCCCAACCCAGCTCAAGCCCCATGGCTCAAAGGCTGATGTCCACAGGTGCCCATTTGCCTGTATGGTAGATCCTACAGCAGGGGCTCTGAGCCCATGACCCGGGGCCTCTCCTTCCAATCCCCTTGGCCCAGCACAGGCCTGACCCTGGTGCTCACGCCCTCATCCTGGATGAGGATGGGACCTGGGGAGCAGTCCTTTCCATGTCTGTGTGCATGTGTGTGCATGTGTGTGCATGTGTGTGCATGTGTGTGCATGTGTGTGCGTGTGTGTGTGTCTGTCTGTCTCTCTCCAGCTTCCTCCCCACCCCACTGGTCCGGCCTCAGGTCCTCTGTCCCCACAGGTGTGTGTGTGTGGGCATGCATGTGTGCACTGCGTGTGTGTCTTCTCTCTGGCTTCTTCCCCACCGCACTGGCCTGGCCTCCGGTCATCTGCCCCAGCGGGCCCCATGCTCACCTGGGGCACTGGTTGGGACGTGGTGGGGCTGCTGCTGCTCCAGGGACCGCCGGTAGCTGCTGCTGTCCTGGGAGTCGCGGCGCTCTGGTTCCATGCCCTCACCCCCGCTAGGGCCCATGCGGCTCTTCTCGAACTCTTCATGGTATTTTATCTGCAAGGTCAGGTGACACTGGGTAAAGGACCCCGCCAAAAACCACCCAGTTCCTTCCCATGACCCTCAAGATCCCGGGATGGGAGACTCCCCAAGGGCTTTGGGCAGAGAAAGCCAAGTCTTGCTCCAGAATCACCAGCTGTGTGCCCTTGGACAAGCTACCCAACTTTGCCAAGCCTCAGTTTTCACCTCTGCAAAATGGGACACCAGTGTCTCCCTCAGGGATTGCTGGGGAATGCAATGAAATAACCGATGTAAAAGGGCCATTCGAACTAAAGAATCAGACCGAAGTGAGTGATCACTTTTTATTTTTCTTGAAACGGAATTTTACTCTGTCACCCAGGCTGGAGGGCAATGGGCATGATCTCGGCTCACCGAAACCTCCGCCTCCCAAGTTTAAGCAATTCTCCTGCCTCAGCCTTCTGAGTAGCTAGCTGGATTACAGGCACAAGCCACCACACCTGACTAATTTTTTTTGCATTTTTATTAGAGACGGGGTTTCATCATGTTGGCCAGGCTGGTCTCAAACTCTGACCTCAGGTGATCCACCTGCCTCGACCTCCCGAAGTGCTGGAATTACAGGCGTGAGTCGCAGCGCCCAGCCAAGTGGTCACTTTTATATGCCTTCGGCAGGAGCGGGGGCTGCTGTTTCTGCTTGGTCAACAGTAATAGCAGCGGCTCCTGTCTCCTGACTCTCACTGCGTGCCAGGGCTGTGCTAGGTGTTTTATGACACAGGCTCATGTGAGCCCCTCAGCGCCTCTGAGGGGTAGATTGCAGACCCATGTAACAGGTAAGAAGGAAGCAAAGGCCATGATAAGCGAAGGGAATGGCCCAAGATCACAGACTCCAGAGCCCTGCTCTTAATCAACAGGCGATTCTGCCTTTCGTGTACCAGATGCCGCAAAGGCTGCATCCTGGGGTGCTCTGCTGAGAACCCCTCTTTAGGGACAAAACATGCCAGACCCTCCCTGAAGGCGGGTCATTGTCTTGGACAATTCCAAAAATGGGCAGAGAGGCCCGAAGAAGTCATATCCCTCAGGACCACCCCACTAGGTGGGGATGTGAGGCTCCAACCCCTCAAGTCCGCCTCTTGCCCCATAGTGACCCCACCCTGACCACCAGCACTCAGGAGTCTCGAGTGGGGCCTCACGCTGTTCGAGGGCTATGACTGCGCCTGCCTGGGGCTGGCTGCATTAGCCATTGAGGCCGGGAGGGCAGGGGAGGCAGGTGCCCACCAAGCCAAGCTGGGTAGGGGTGGGAAGCTGCACTCTGCCCGGACCCCTTGGGTGCTATGGTAGAGAACTTGGCCAGTTTAGGGGAACCAGAGCCCCTGCCACCTCCATCAGAGCCTTAAGCAGGGTCAGCCGGAGGCAGCCCCACCCCCACCACCAGAAAGCAACCTCAGGGTCAACTGGCCCCTTTGTGTTGAGAGCCTCAGCCCCAGCCCAGTCCTCTTAGGCAACTGAGCCAGAGAGAGACGGTCATTCATCCGCCTTGTCTTCTTCAGGCTGAGTCCCACGGTGGGACCAGAACACAAGCCTCGGAGTTTCTTGTAGACCCAGATCCTGACTGGCCCCAGGCTCCCTCCACCTTCCATTCCTTGGGGCAGCTTCTCTGGGCACCAGCCCTTTCCTCCCCTCAGGTCTGAAAACTGTCCAGATGGCTTTCTGTGGCTGTGCCAGGCTCCCAAAGACAGGCCTGCACGTCTCCTGGATCTCAGCCCTAGAGCCAGACCCTGGGGCATCATGGGTGACTCCCCATGCTTTCAGCAGTCTGACCCTCTTGGCACCCTAGCCCTGCGGCACCCTGACCCTGTGGCCCCCTGGCCCCCACTCTCCTTCCTCCAGGCACTGCATGTGGCATAAGGCCCACAGCTTCACACCTCATGTGCCTGGATCCAGCTGCTCTAGCCCCACCTGGGCCAGCCCAGACGCAGCCCCAGACCCCAGGTCCAGGTCCATATCGGAAAGGGGAAAAGTCAAGATAGCTATTCCCAGGCACAACTATCTCAGGTGGGTTTTGAGGCATGTATTGAGTGTGCCTGCAGCAAGAACTACACCACAAGAAAAGCGGGTGGTAAGGCTGGGGCAGCGGCTCACGCCTGTCATCCCAGAACTTTGGGAGGCCAAGGCAGGTGGATGACTTGAGGTCAGGAGTATGAGACCAGCCTGGCCAACATGGTGAAACCCTGTCTCTACTAAAATACAAAAATTAGCTGGGTGTGATGTCGCATGCCTGTGATCCCAGCTACTTGGGAGGCTGAGGTGAAAGGGTCGCCTGAACCTGGGAGGTGGAGGTTGCAGTGAGCCAAGATCAAACCACTGTACTCCGACCTAGGCAACAGAGTGAGACTCCATGACTCCGTCTCAAAATGTAAAAAAGGTAAGTCATAGAGCCTCACATACACATCCCGTTGCTTCAAATGGGAAAAGACCTCCAGGTGAGGCTATTTATGGAGGAGGGAGCCAGCCCTGATCAGACTACCCAGGCTCAATTCCACTAGGAAGGGCACCAGGGCACACCTAGACATGGGGCCCATGCCCTGCTCTCACCTAAGACAAGGTCAGAGGTGATCTCCCAGCCCACTCCCTCACAGCGCCCTGTCCCCTGGCTGGGGGTGGCGGGGGAAGACATGGGAAGGAGATAGCACGAAGCAGCCCTGGCTGACACACTTCATGCATAATAGTTCACAGGACCCTCCCCACAAGCATCTGAGGTAGGCACTGTCATGTCCCGATATCCAGAGAGTCGACGGGACCTGCCAAGGTCATCCGGACACTTGGCGGTAGGGAGGGAAGGAATCAAGGTGAACCTGGAGGCAGCCCAGCCTCGCCACTCAAGGGCAGCCCAGCCTTCTCTCATCCTGCAAGTTCCATCTCGGCACCTCATCCTCGGGAGGCTGGCCCTGGTTCCAGGCTGAACCCAGGGCTCCCACAGCACCCGGGACTGGGCTGTGCCGTCGGTGGGTGGTGTTCCCCCACCCCCACTGGATGGAAGCTCCTAGAAGGTAATGAAGGAGCCAGTTATTCTGATGCCAAGGTCTCCCACAGCCTGGCACACCCCAGGCCTCAGGATGGGCTGAAGAGAACAGACCAGGATCCTGGAGACCCTTGGGCTTTGCTTAAAATGCAGTCTCCAGGCCAGGTGTGGTGCCTCACACCTGTAATCCCAGCACTTTGGGAGGCCAAGGCAGCTGGATCACCTGAGGTTAGGAGTTCAAGACCAGCCTGGCCAATAAGATGAAATCCCGTCTCTACTAAAAATACAAAAATTAGCGGGGTGTGATGGCAGCTGCAAGCCCAGCTACTCAGGGGGCTGAGGCAGGAGAATTGGTTGAACCCAGGAGACGGGGTTTGTGGTGAGCCAAGATCAAGCCATTGCACTCTAGTCTGGGCAACAAGAGCAAAACTCTGTCTCAACAACAACAACAACAAAAATGTGGTCTCCTGACTACCTGTGTCTGACTCAGCTGGGCTCCTTGTTAGAATGCAGGTTCTGGGGCCTTTCTGAGAATCTACAAAATCAGGGCTGAAGTCCTGGAATATGCATTTTGGAAAAAAGCTCCCCAGGTAAGTCTGAAGCAGGCTCAATTCTGAGAACTGAGAACGAGTGGTCTAGAGCAGAAGCTGGGAATCGATGGTCCATGGACCAAATCCAGCCCACAGCCGGCTGCTAAGAATGGATTCCACATTCTTTAATGCTTGGTGAGGGGCGGTGGGGGGTGAGAAGTACCAAAAGTGGAATAATATTTCGTGACACATGAAATTTCTCTGAAATTCAAATTTCAGCCTCCAGAAATAAAGTCATATTGGAACACAGCCACACCCACTCAATTACCTCTTATCTGTGGTTGCTTTCATGAGGAACTGCAGAACTGAGTTGCTGCCACAGAGGCCATATGGCCACAAAGCCTGAGATTCCACCTACCTGGTCGTTTAAAGAAAAAATTCTGCTGATCCTTGTTTGCCAAAATACTTTGACCACATACTCCCATTGGTTAAATGTACTTTAGCACAATCCTCCTGAATTATAAGTTACACAGAAGTTATCACTTGACAAATATGGAATGTATATTGTAAAACTTACACCAAAAACTGTATTTGCAAAGTATGAGATGACCAGGTACAGTGGCTCACACTTTCAATCCCAGCACTTTGGAAGGCTGAGGCCAGCAGATCACCTAAGGTCAGGAGTTCAAGACCAGCCTGGCCAAAAGAGTGAAACCTGGTCTCTACCAAAAATACAAAACTGAGGCGTGGTGGCGTGCGCCTGTAATCCTAGCCACTCAAGAGGCTGAGTCATGGGAATCGCTTGAACCCAGGAGACAGAGATTATAGTGAGTCGAGATGGAGCCACTGTACTCCAGTCTGAGCAAGACAGTGAGATGTCACAAATAAATAACCAGAACCAGAAGTTTTAGGGTTTTATTCCTGTAGGAACCTGCTGCCTGTCCCCCAACTTGATGACCCCTGATGGGCTCTATCCCCTTCACTTTTCTTTTTCTTTTTTTTTTTTTTGAGATGCAGTCTCACTCTGTTGCCCAGGCTGGAGTGCAGTGGCATGATACTCAACTCACTGCAACTTCGGCCTCTCAGGTTCAAGCGCTTCTCCTGCCTCAGTCTCCTGAGTAGCTGGGATTACAGGTGCCCACCACCATGCCCAGCTAATTTTTATATTTTTCGTAGAGACGGGGTTTCACTAGGTTGGCCAGGCTGGTCTCGAACTTCTTGACCTTTTGATCCACCCACTTCGGCCTCCCAAAGTGCTGGGATTACAGATGTGAGCCACCGCGCCCGGCCTCCTATGTACTTTTCAGAGAGGAAGCTGGTGGGAAGGGGGACCACCACAGAAAGGTGTGAGGGCCCAGGGGCCGAGTGCTCCATGAGGGTGGGCGAGGAAGTGGGACAGAGAGTGAAGAGAGTGACAGCCCCCCCACCCTCAGGGGAAACTCAGAAAGCAGGACATCAGGACAAGGAGAGGGACTGGTGATTCCCAGACA